GAGAGAAACTATTCATTTTTTAGCGTTATATTTCAGTATTTACCTATTTCATACTGTATATCTCTGCTACAGTCAAATGCCTTGTCAATGCTATAAAATTGTATTTACAAAAACAGGTGACATGCCTATATATAGGAACATCATGTATATATAATTACTAATATATTTTAGTTATACATTTTAAATTGTGTAAAGCTCATTGAGGCCTCTCCAGATGTTATCGCTATGAAAGAAATGTATTATTATTATTATTATTATTATTATTATTATTATTATTATTATTATTATTATTATTATTATTAATAATAATAATAATAATAGCCACAATTATTAGTGATAAATTCAAGGCAGTAATGAAAATGGTGCTCATATAGGCAATGTACTAAAGAAGTATTGTAAATTGATTTGATCTGCCGCATCCACAACAGTACACTGTAAATGCATTGTGCATTTCGATTGTGTCCTTGAGCAAGGCACCTTATCTACATTGCTTCTCTCCACCCAGGAGTATAAATGGGTACCTGGTGGGGTTGCCTGCTACTGCGACAATATGGCAGCAACACTTAAGCATGTGGACCCAATGACCAGGGAAAACAAATCGCTTTGTAACCTAAAGGAATAGGCGCTTTATGAATTCTAAAATAACAAATAACAAATAACAAAATGAAAATCAGATAAATTTCCCCCAAAATTTAGCTAATAAATATTTATCTTATACATACATAGAATGACATGTTCACTCAAATTGTAATAATAGCCGAGTTTTTGAGTGATAGGCCTACTAATGTGTAAATCAGTATCACTCAAATCGTAATAGATTGTCGAGTTTTCGGATCGGAAGGCCTACCGAACCGATAAGAAATCGAAATTGACGGAAACTCGGTCCGAATTTGGGTTTGAATCAGATGCGAGTCCAGCTACTCATAGTATCATGATGGCATAAAATTACATCATAAAATTTCAATTATCAGATTCAGATTTAGATTATTCTTTATTGTCATAACGATATCATGAGATTTGTTTCCCTTGTTACATTAAAAAATAAAAAATACCACAAGATATAGAAAAAGTTAGTTAAATATATATCAAACACATACAAAAGTTAATGCACAAAAACAAGGATGAGTTACAATAAATATATAAAAATATGTATGTATTTTATACATGTATATGTATTTTAAATGCATTGTTTTATACAGTACGTATTTTAAAATATATCTCTATATTTATAAGGCGTCCTGTGAAATCATGAGAAGCGTTCCCGTCACGGCCCTGCTTTAACCGATTGTACCACCACCACGTACAAAAAGAAATATAAAGACTTCAAATAACATGCCTAAATATGACAGGAGTGGATTCAACCACAAGGTGTGTCTAACTATGTCTGGACAAAATGTACACGGACTCTATAAGAAGGTGTCCTGTAATTGGCAAACGCCTTTTGGATGTATTTGTGAAATAAAATAAAGGAAAATAAAATTGATATGTTTATATTTATTCTTCTACATTTATATGATTTAAAAATTATTTTTATACAATGTTATAGGGTCAAAGAGGGCAGCCACGTCTTGCCATTTGAAAAGGTACCCTCATCTTTACCCCCAGCCACCAACACAAAAAAGACAAAACACATACCGGTACTATTGTACCATCGCTTCTACATGTTGTATATTTATGGAACTATAAGCTATCTTATGTTTTGTTCTGATTAGTAGACCGTTCACTGTACACGCACGTTGCGATGACTCAAATCATCCCGTTAATTCCTATAGTGTTTTCACTTCTTGTAAAATATGGTAAGAGTTCTTTTTTTTTATTTTTTATTTAATACAGTATTTATGGTACTTTTTAGCAGTTTTGTCGGGTTGCTTTAAGCTGTCCGACAGGGTATCTAGCAATGTTAACAGAGATTAACAGGGTCTCTATGGGGAAGCCGCAGGGGCACACGAGCGAGGCACGGACCTGCATCTAAGTCTTAATTCGAGAAAACTTTATCGTGCCAACCGAAATGCCTTGATCGAGAGCCAATAATAAATGGCTATGTATTGGAAAAATGAATAACAATTACAATACAAAGATAAAGGTAAAAGCAATAAATAAAGATGACGTTGTAATGTAGTTCTACTCTAGTAACTTCAATAATAATAATAATAATAATAATAATAATCATGATGGTTATGATGAGAATAATAATAATAATAATAATATAATAATATTATTAATGATAATAATAATAATATTAATAATATTAATATCATTTGCTTTTAGGTCAACCTTTAGAATGTAAAATAAAAGAGTCTGTCGTCAACAGGCCTGTGATTTCAAGTAATTGCTACCGAAAGTGCGAATATCCGCCTAAACCAATGATATGCGAGTACGACCTAAATGTTGAATGGATCCAGACAATGTCAGGTCATTGTGGGGACTGTCCGCTAAAGAAAGAAGACTGTAATCTCGAAAAGTGTGTACCTGTTGACGGGTCTTCAAGACCTGCGGCCGTTGTAAATGGCACATTTCCCGGACCGAGCATTCAGGTAATATTTTGGAGAAAAACAACATTACTAAAATAAGTTGAGATTTAGATCTAAAATTATTAACGTCGTTTTAATACACTATGTAAGATGCATTTAAATATAGTTTACTTACATTGAGTACCCTTACATTTCATTTTTTGGTTAAAAAATATTACAAAAGTGCATGTTGAAAGTTATTAAAACAAACTTTACGAGTATAGCATTGTGCCCAAAACTATAATATCTAAACTAGGGGATTAAATCATCGTCATCGTCGTCATCATAATTATTATTATTATTAAAATTATTATTATTATTATTATTATTATTATTATTAATATTATTATTATCATATTACAGTATACCTATTGTTATTATTTGAATGGATTGGAGTAAACATCTTGATTAACAGTAAAGAGTACGACTTTGATCTACCGGAACATATTATGATGCTAACGGATTGGTCTGATATAGTAGCCGTGGAAATAGCACTTAAGGCCAATGTTCCTGCTATGTATCCAAGAACCCCGTCAATTACTATTTTGATGAATGGTAAAGGAGAAAGAATTGACTTCTTTGACGAAAGTGGTCAGGCTTACAAAACACCCAAAGCAATGTTTGAAGTTGAAGCAGGCATGAGGTACAGGGTGCGACTGATTGGTGCATTTGTGGCAGCTTGCACAACTGAATTTTACATTGAAAACCACAATATGACCATAATTGGTACAGACGGCCACGAGACAATCCCGCACGAAATAGGTTCTTTAAAAATAGGATCGGGGGAAAGGTTAGTTACGATTATTACAATTGTTTCTATTTTTGGTTAATTGGTAAGTTTAGTAGAATCTAAAGTAGTAAAAATTCTACAATTGGTACGTAATTTAATTGAATAATAATAATAATAATAATAATAATAATAACAATAATAATAATAATAATGATAATAATAATAATAATTACATTGACATTTCTACATAGGTACGACTTCGTGCTACATGCCAACGCAGTGCCATCAACGTATTGTATTCATGCCGTTGGTTTAAAAAACAGTTCGTGTTTAACTTATTCAACTTACATCTTGAAATACAAATCGAGTTCCTTGGATGTCCCAGTATGTAGAGAAGATGATCTACAACCTGTACCGCATTACATGGGATCAGATTCCAATGGGCTTTTCTCCTCGATTGACCTTGTTTCTTTAGGTAAGATATTGACTTATTAACAAAATTGTCTCATGGTCAGTTGCAAGTTGGTTGGTTCGCATCTTTGCCTGTTCGTGAAAACACAAGTTGGCCTATCCATAAATACGCTTGTTTTCCCACAAGCAGGCACAAGCAATTTTTTGTTTGTTTTACAAACCATCAAAATGTTTATGATCATTTTTATCATTCTAAAATATCCATCCTGCTACTTGCAATGTTGTTGATAAAACCAGTTTACGTAAAATCGCTGCACTATCTCTACAATGTTTTCACTCCAATCGTTCACTGCATTTCGCTGTCCCGTCCGTCCCGCGACGCAATCGGAATAGATGCTATTCGAACGAACAGTAAGCGTCAGTAAACCAGCCTTTAGAGTGCTCGACTATGAGGGCGCTAGAGAACCACCCGAAAGATTTCTGTAGGACTATGTGGCTAGGCCTAATTTTAGACTGACCTACATTCACCTCGTAATATATATATTATAATTTAACTGGTAAAATGTCAACCACTGGGTTAAATGCATAGTTCAGTAGCAAATCAGTAGTTATAAAACTTGAAACTCATTTCCCTCTCTTTGAAAAACGTCTTTTTTGTAAATATATTTGTTTTACGGGATTTTAGGTCGGACAGATCTGGGAATTTTTAAAAACGGTTTGTATTAATTTTAAGAATTTCATTTTTTATTTATGTAAAGGAAAACCACCTATATGTATGGATAAAATAATTTCCGTGTATGTTTTTAATGCAGCTAAATGTAAAGGGAAAATTAGGAGCGGATTTAAGGGGGAGGGAGAGGCCCGGCTTCTTTTGGAAAGTAAAAAAAAAAAAAAAAAAAAAACAAAAAAAAGAAGGAAAAAATAATCGCTCCAATCGCCTCAAAAAAAAAAAAAAAAAAAAAAATCGGAGGCATGCCCCTGGACCACCTAGGGTGGTGTTATCTCGGTCGGCCCCACTTTATGCGGCTAGACCCCTTTCGGCCCCCACTTTCGGACATCTCTGGATATGCCCCTGAAGGTAATGCTGTATTCATCATTAAGCGTAGGGGAATGAGCTGTTAAGAGCCCATCGTACTAAGCCTCGGAATACTGTGTAGGGTGGTCAGTTCCTTTCCTCGTCGCCTTAAAAAATCAGTGTGGAAAGGTGGTGGGTGTGTGAAGAGAGACAAATTTAGGTAATGTGTCTTGTCCAAAGATAGGAGTGAAATCGTATCTGTGAAATGCACAGCAAAGTTTGAAAACCCGTCCTCTAAGTTGAGAGACCGACGAAAAGCAACCGTTGCGTCAACCGCTCACACAATAATTTCATAATCCAGCTGATAATATAAAATTACATGAATACCGTACTCTGAAAACGATAACGTAATGTATTGTTATAATGTTATGTAATATGCAGACTTAGTATACCAGAAC